GCTATTTTAATACTCTCCGATTGTATTAAAAGGACTGTAGAAGGCTGGACTCCCTTGCACAAAGCTAGTGGAATTATGGAGCCATCATAGGATTGTAAAACAGGAGTTTACTGTTTATTCCCTCAACTGTTTTCCCACCATCTGATCTATACTCAATTTATTAACCAGTAATCAGTATACTGTGATGTTGTTACCAAACTTGACTTTCTATAAGAAGACAGAAACCACATTGTGTATGTGCTTAAAACACCTAAATTTCCAAACTCAATTAAAACAATTCACTTGACACAATGCAAATGGAGTCCTGTATTGGTAAAAGTCATTCAAAATGGTTAACTGCTTACCTTGCTGATATCATTGTATGTGGAGAGAGATGGTGCCTGATTTAGAATTATTATTGGGAAAATGGATGTTTGTGGCATGGAAATCACTGACCACATTTCTTCTAGGCTGTTGGTAAAATTCATTGATGCAGACTTTGCAGTCAGCAAAACATTGACAAAACTTTAAAATGGAGAAGGTTAGCCACTACCCTCGATTTTGGAACTTTTTTGTTTTGGTTTTTTTTCACATCCCTGGAATATTTGCTATATTAAAGCAATGTGAGTGCTATACTTTCAAATTTATTGGCCTTACTTCTAGGGTTATTTGACATGATTTGCATGCGGTAGTGAAGAATTACTACCTTGATTTGGCCACGTTTTTGACATCGTTCCTGATCTTATCTGCATCTCTTTTTTTTTCTTTTGTGTGGAGAAACCATGATTTCTGATGCACTACATTTTCTGAGAGTTGTCTTGATACCACTTAGTTTTTTCTGGCCTGGTATAGTTTACAATCCCCTTATTATCTATGTATGGCCTGTTTGAAGTCTTTGCTTTTTTTTGGCTAGAGAAAGAATGAAATATTAGTAGATTTGAGCTAAGAAGAGAGGTGATGATCGAAGATGTGATGAAAATTTCTGGTAGTGGTGAGATCCAAGGGATGGTATGGTGGATGGGGTGAACGGAACTGTTGAGTCAGACTGAAGTATACCAGAATGTCCATTTTGTCGAATACAATGAAACTTTTATTTATATGGCACCATCAACATAGGCAGGACCATCGTCTTGCACCATACCTTGTATTAGCTGATATCAAGCTAAGCTACTAAGAAAGGTGATCAGAAACTTGGTCAAAAAGGCAGAATTTAAACTGAATCTTAAAGATGAAACCCGGTGTTGAAGTTTAGAAAGGAAATTCTAATATTTTACCAGTTGGAAAGTATATAACTAGATGAAGTTGTGGATTGAAATTGAACTGTTATAATTGAAGGCAAACATCAGAAAATTTGGTAGCACTCCCATCTTGCTAGATCAAGATATTTGAATGCGTACAAGCTGTGAAGGAAAGGGTAAAGATCACTTTGCACTTCATGTGTATGTTTGATAACGAGTCAGCCAGTTTTTCACTCAAACTATGAAAGTCTCTTTCACTAAAGTTTGTAACTTGAACCTATGTGCGATAATCAAACAAAACGTGTACCAATCCCATTGTTTCTTTTCAGACACTTGAGCATGGTGCTTCACTTAATGTGTGCTGAGAATGTTGACCATGTTTTGGCAGACCTACCCCTGCACTTCATGGTTAGATGCTGCTTAAATCTTGCCATGATGATCATGATTGGAGCTGCTTGTTACTTTAAATTTTACTTTACTAAAATACTTAATCTGATCTCTCTGTAAACTAAAGGTCACTGTTACCTTTCCTGTACGATGTTGCTAGTGTTTGCATGGTACTGTAGTCCAACAATTTTATCCATTATGGAAATTAACAGGCGGTAAGCAGTAGTTGGGAATATAAAGTGCATACTGATCAAAAATGCCATTACACTCCTTGGCTTTTAACAAGGAAAAGAGAAAGTGTAGATGCATATGGTGTAAAAATTTGAGCTCAACAGTGATGACCTAGTTCTTGTTTCTAAAATATGGAGGTTTGAATGATTTAGAAGAGTTTTTGTTCTTGGATATGTACTAATTGTATTCTGCTGGAATTCTCAAGTTCCCAATGATTGGAATGTAGTGCCTCCTACTCAAGCAAAGAGAAGAAAAGTAGGATTTAAAGCCATTGATCCTTATAATGCCAATATGATATGCTGGAATCAGTTTTTGATTGTAAGGTACTTGTTGATGTAAGCTTTTCTTACCTACAATTTCAATTGCTGAAAGCAGATTCACAGTTTTAACGTGGCATTTCATTGCAGTAACTCCCCCTTATTAGAGGGTGACTGCATCATGTGATGTTCTGACCTGTTGAACACCTTTTTTAAATTGCATAGGGAAAACTGCTCTTATTTGGGGTGTTTTGTGTACCTGCAATCTCCAAACCATTTGAAATAAATTCAGCACATTGTTTAGAACTATTTGAGGTTGTCTAGTTTATCTGTTACGCTTTTGAATTCCTAAGCAGAGTGACTTGATTGTTTCTGGCATTCTCTGATAAAGAGCAGGTAGCTATTCCCTTGAGTGATCTAAACATAGTTTGAGTTTTTTCTTCTCCTTTTTAAGACTCTCCATGAATCTCTCTTTAAGGTCTTGGTCACCTACAGAATGCTGAACCTAACATGAGTTGTTGGAAAATGCTTGGATCTGTAAACAAAGCATGTGATAACTGGACGTGTCAAAAATAACAATAGGATCTGACAGAGTCAACACGGACTGATGTTAGGGAAATCATGTTTGATAAGCCCGATGAGTTTTTTGAGAATATATGTAGCACAGTACATAAGGGGGGAGCCAACAGAAACTGATCTTTAAGATTTTTAGAAGGCTTTTGATTAAGATCCCACACAAGCAGTTACTAAGCCAAAGTAGAACGCTTGGGATTGGGGGGAATTTACTGGTGGATTATGAACTGGTTAACAAACAGAAAACAGACTGAGAAATTAATCATTTTTTTTATGTTGACATGTTGTGACTAATGAAGTACTGCAGGATCTGTGTTTGAGCCCCAGCGCCAGGGACTCTGGTTCGATTCCACTCGGGCAACTGTCTGTGTGGAGTTTGCACATTCTCATGTCTGCATAGGTTTCCTCCACCGTCCAAAGATGTGCAGGTTAGATAGGGAGGGGGTGGTGTGTGTGTGTCTTGATGGGATGCCGTTTGGAGGATCAGTGTGGATTTGATGGGCTGAACAGCCTGCTTACACACTATAGGGATCGTGGATTCTATTCTCAAAGTATCAATGTCTTGAATGTGGGAGTCAATGTAATTTTTTGTTGGATGGCAAAGTTAGGTGGAAGTTAGTTCAGGTTGGAATTACACTTAAAAGGAATTTTGGAGTGAGTTGGTAAAAGTTTAGTATCTGGAACACTGGAGAAATGAAGTTTTTGTAAATCAAAAGCAGCTAGAGAATTTGTTAAATGGAAAGACAACTTTTAAGTTGAACAGAATTTGACCTTTAATTAGGAGAATTTGCAGATAGAAGCAAAGATACCTTGTTCAGTGCACCTAGGCCCCTGTGTACGTGAAAACTAGCTAACTGTGATACGTGAAAATTAATGAACTGGTCTTAGTGGATCTCCCGTAATTTGGACCAGAAGCCTCACGGTTTTACTGGGTTTCCTGTTGAAGTATGAGGAAAAATTAAACAGGTTGGAATTGTACTCTGTGGAGCTCAGAAGAATGAGGGTTGTTCTTGTACTACTTTTAAAAAGGAATGAAAGGGTAGGTGCATTAAACCTCGTGAATGGTGTGATCCAGAAGTAGGAGTCTCAATTTGAGACTTCAGTGGTACGTCGAGGATTTTTCTTGCGGGTAGTGAAATTTTGGAATTCTCAGCTCCGAGGTAATTGATTCCTATCGTCTTACATGTTTTTAGCGTACGAAAATTATTGAAGTAAAAGTCTTTGTTGATTTTGAATAGCGGAGCGAGCTCAAGGAGCTGTGAGAGACTTGGTGACCGTTTGTTAAACCTCCCCATCCCTGCGACATGGTTTGGGCTGTTGGCATCTTTTGTGTTATTTCTAGTCGAGAAGAGAAAGGAGACCTTTTTTGTTGCAACCGAAATGTTAACTGTAAATAAAGGTGTTAAATTGACATTTTGTTTGTTGTCCCTCGTGTGTTGTAACCTGAAGGTTGCTGGCAACAGCTATGCTGAGGTTTCATTCACGAAGAGGAGGGGGTGAAGGATGCGCAGAGCAACTGGATCCGGGGTGTTTGAGCAGGAGGGGGAGGGGAGGGGAGGGGGAGTCGGTTATAAATAGCAGCCCATAGTGCTGTGCTCTCATTTCGACCCGGAGCTCTGTGCTGCCGTATTTGGATCTGTGTTGAAGTGAGTTGAAAGCCGCTGCGAAGCTTTGTGCTCACCTTGGGCGTAGGGTGAATCTCGCTGACGGTTTGGGTCAAACCGAGCGGCTTCCTTTGAGCCAGCTTGCAGGGTAGGCTCCACGGAAAGACCGGTCCGTTATTACCGCAGGTGGGGGAGACATTAGTAACTGGGAATTCGGTGTGAACGTACGCCATCGGCTTCAATTCCGAATGGAAGTGGGGCGCAAATCACCCGTCGTCTTTGAAGCTAGAGTACGATGGGACGAGTAAAGGCGAGCGGTGCGGAGCTGGGGGGTGGGTACAGCATTAGCGAAGCGGTTGCTGTTTTTGTTCTAACTGTTGAAGGGGTAAGGGACGGTGGAGAAGAAACGAAGGGGGCGTCTGTAAAATGGCGGCTCCACAAAGCCGGGCCGGCCAGAGATGGCCACTGCGTGGGACCCGGATCGTGCCGCACTGCGGCACCCTGTCTCTCTCTCTCTGCCTGCGAGGTGGGGAGAGACCGAGACAGCACTGGATCTGCGGGGACGGAGTGGGTGGGCGTTGGGGAGGAGCTCCATGTGCTGCAAACCATCCACTAAAACCGAAAGCGGAGGCTCTTTACCCTCTTCAAACTATGTCCGTCGAATCGACTCCTTTTCCGCCATCACCATACAAAAATAACTTAATTTTACTCTTCACTTACTGCCCACATAGGTAAAGCACGATGTCTGACGAAGGAAAGCTTTTTGTCGGTGGTCTTAACTTTGACACAAACGAACAGTCGCTGGAATCCGTTTTCTCCAAATATGGACAGATCTCTGAAGGTTGGTGTGTGGCAGCTAAATATAATATGCCCTGTATTGACAGCACTTAAGCAGGATCCAATTTCAGGAGCCCACCAGTTTAAATATGAATGGATATTGTTGGAAGTTTGTGAAGTGGATTTCTTCTTTATATACTAAAGATGGAGAATATAACAAAACAAAGGGGGCTTTTAAGTGCATGTACTCCCCACAGCATTGATTTCTTAATTTTACAATTTTAAACGTGGTGGATATTTTTCTGTGTAGACTGGTGCTCAGGCACATAATTGAAGGAGAGCAGCAATAAATGAGATTACTGTGGGAGCATGCAGTAATATGTAGGAAAAGAAACCTTGTATGGCCATAAGTACCGGCATTAATCTTTTTGAGACAATTGGCTTGTTTCTATAAATTGATGTAATTCTGTAAACTTTTTTTAAGCTGTTTCAGTCGTACGGTGGTGTTTTGTAACTTTAAGTATTTTTCCCTGTTTGCTTTAGTTATTGTAATTAAGGACCGGGAGACGCAGAGGTCGAGGGGTTTTGGTTTCGTCACGTTTGAAAATCCTGATGATGCAAAGGATGCTATGTTAGCTATGAATGGGAAGGTACATTTACATACCCATCATTTCTACAAGTTTTATAATTAAGGTATCATAAGTGGTATATCTGATGCCTTAGCATAAATAGTGGATTCATGCTATTTCCCCTCCCACTATTCCAGAGACCTGAGCATATAATCCAGGGTGACACTTTAGACAGAGAGCAATATCAAAGATCTGTGCTTGGGGTAAGATGTTAAACATTGCCTTGTCTGCCCCCACAGATAGATAACATAGTGCTTTTTGAACTTAAGTCAGGGAGTAAGGATTCCTTAGTTAAATATTTATTCCTCATTGACATTACTAAGGAAAATCGCTGTTCCTTGATCAGTTGGTCACTCTTCCTGGCAGCTGTCTCTAATTGAACCAGACTTCACAAATTTGTGTCTTGTTTGATGCTCAGCTTTGAACCATTTATCTATTATAAAAGACTTCAATGTCTACTTTCACCTCTAATGCCACACAGCTCTACCCATTCTTTGACCCACCTTTCTGAAATCATCTCCAGAATCTGTTACCTGATGTTTTACTTCGACTCTGGTTTTCCAGATTGCCAGCATGCAAACTGTTTCGTTTTTCTGGTCTTCTAGTGCTGTCCTGGTCATTCTCCTGTTTTAATCCTTTGAACTTGCTTGATTCATCTTTTTTAAACTTCTGTGTCTTTTTTTTTGTCTAATTGCAATCCTGTGAAGTGCCTTTGGATTTCTATTGTAATAAAGCATTAATGTTTTTGATTGAATAGTTAAAGCTAGCTGCTGCAGTTCCCTGTAATGTAGTAATGATTGCACTTTCTAAAAAAAAACTCATCAGTCATAACTTGGTGAAAGAAGGTCATAGTCATACAACATAAAATAAGCCCTTCGGCCTACCATGGCTATGCTGACCAACAAACATCAAACTACTGTAAATCCCATTTACCTGCACTGGGTCCGCAGCCTACCATCCATCACATTTTAAGTACTCCTCCAGATGCTGCTTAAATGTTGTAAGAGTACCCCTCTCCACCACCCTCTCGGGCAGCGCATTCTATATTTCTACTCTGTCCTCGGGTTGTCTCTAAACCACTTTGTCCTCGGCTTAAACTTATGTTCTCTGGTTAGATCCATCTGGCGTGTGGAAAAGATTCTCGTGATCTATACTGTATGTGCTTTTTGTAGTTATATTTGGTGTACCTGAATCAGATACCCTTCAGCTGCCTCTGCCCCAGGGAAGACAAACCCAGTCTTTGCTCATAACTGAGATTTTCATCTCAAGCAGCATCCTGGTGAATTTCCTCTGCATCCTCTCCAGTTCATTCACATCCTTCCAATAGTGTGATGACCTGAACTGCATACAGTCTTCCATCTGTGGCCTGACCAAGCCTTTTATAAAGGTGCGACAAGACTTCTTGCACAGCTTGGCTGGTGAAGCATCCCATATGCTGCCTTCACCCTGTCTTCTATCTATGCTGAAACCTTCAAGGATCTATGGACCTCCCATCCATTGTGTCAAACCACCCCGATTAGACCTCCCAACATGCATCACCTCGTACTTCAGATGAAACTTCATTTGCCAATATTCTGTCCAGTCTACCAGATGATCAATATCAGACTGTAGCCTGAGGCTGTTGTCATTATCAGCAATTATACCTTCAAACTCCTATCCAAGTTGATAACGTACATAACAAACAGCAAGGGTCCCAGCACCGATCTCAACGTCTAGGAGATGAATAGCTTACTTCTGCTTTGTGCTTCACACTGCATTAGGATGTCCAAAAATTATGGAAATTGCAAAATGAGTGCAGGCACTTTCAGAAGTGGTGCCATTTGATGTCTAATAATTATGTTTTCTCTTTTCTTTGTAGTCTGTTGATGGGCGTCAGATTAGGGTAGATCAAGCTGGGAAATCCTCTGGAGAACGATCCCGAGGCTACAGGGGTGGAAGTGCAAATAGTCGTGGATTTTTCCGTGGAGGGTCTGGGCGTAGAGCCCGTGGGTTTTCGAGAGGTATGTAACAGTAACTAACAATTATAGTTTTAAAAAAATTTCACCACTTCCATGTCCACACAGAGTAGATCTTGAAAAGATTGCTGTGTAGACTTTCACTGCTCCCTTGGTTTGTTACATGTTGAATTTCTATAATAGCTAAGTTGCTGTATTTCTGGACAATGTATAGCAGTTCTAGAAGAACTTCTTTTCAACTCGTCATAACCGTTTTGTTTATGTTTAATGTGGTTTGAATTGAATATTAATGTGTCTTTGTTTAATTAAATTCATTATTATTTGGATCCTTGCATAGGTGGAGGAGATAGAGGGTACATTGCAAGGTATGATTCAAGAAGTGGTTACTCTGGATCTAGAGACTACTATAACAGAGACAGGTAAAGATGTTTCTTTGTAATTTTGTTTGTTTTATTTATTATTTAATTTAGATATTTTCTAGTTATCCTGTTATCTACCTCTGGAACAGGTGGGACTTGAACACAAGCCTCTTGGTCCAGAGTTAGGGACACTACCACTGCCCCACAAGAGCCCATGATTGGCTGCATATTGTTATAATTAGTTATTTCTTCTGAATACTGCATTCAGTTCTGGTCTCCCTGCTATAGGAAAGATTTTGTTAAACTTGAAAGGGTGCAGAAAAGATTTACAAGGGGTTGAGCCTATAGGAAGAAGCTGAATAGGAGACCTTAGAGTTTTATAGAGTCATTGGGCATGGATAGGGTGAATACCCAAGGTCTTTTTACTAGGGTGGGGGAGTCCAAAACTAGAGGGCAAAAGTTTAAGGTGTCATGCTGTAGAGCTTAATGATTCTGTGACTATAAATGATCTGGAAAACACTACAGGGATTTTGTTTTTCCCAGGAGTCAAGGGAGCTATAGTGGCGGTGGTTCCTACAGGGACAGTTATGACAGTTAAGGTAGGTGCCACTAAAAATGGAAATTGTAAGTGGAAAATTATTGGGTTGGGATTGCACCTCATATCTTCTGGTATGATCTCGTTATCTTGGTAACAAATTTCAGGAAAAGCATATATTGTGATAAGCAGTGTATCTGCACTGTGCATTTTAGTGCAGCAGTGCATTTCAGTGTTGTCCACACGATTTGAAATACAGAACCATAGTCTGTACAGTAAGTTCAGTACAATGTAATATTGATTCTTCCTGTAGTACCACTCAACAGTGTATCTCCGGGGGCGGAAAGTTCTACTAATGGTAGGTTCTGGCCTTGCAGTTCTGTTGGGTCCAGGTTGAAGAAACACGTTGGTCTGTGCTGCACCATAGTACTTAATTCCTGTTACTAGATTGTATAAATTAACTGCAGTAGTACAATATTTGACAAACTGGTTGCAAATCTTTTAAATTTTATACTGCCATAGTTTAATGTATTCTTTTCCATTTGCGATTTTAGCCTTTTAAACTTAGCTGTTAATCTGCATGCCAATCTTATTGCCATCTGTTCAGGTAACTTAATAGATTTGTCCTCCCATCTAAATCATAGGCTCTACAGTCTAGAACCAAAACCAAGAAAGCAGCATGTATTCTAAATTTCTAAAGCATTGAGAGTATCTTTACAATACTTTTATGTAAGCTTAAAAATCTCTAACCCAGTCCCCTATTATCTTCCCATAATGTATTAATTATGAGGTTACATTTACTTTGGAAGTGCAAATGCCATAAACTTCAAATGTCATAATCTTTGGTTAGTGTTCTACTGTGCCCTCATAGCTCTAAACCATGATCCAATTCAGTCCATAGCACTGATCTAGCAATAGGAAGAGGAAGCTATGATTACTATTGCAGTCTTTTTACATTGTACCTGCTTCTTGTTCTCAGCTACACACAACGAATAAATAAATCTTCCTGACTCAAGATCGTCCTTCCTATGGCTGTATTTATAAAGATTTTCGGAGCTTCGTGGAATCGTATTGTGTACTTTTATTCTCACTGACTTGTAGTAATTCAGTTTGGCCTTGTTAATCACAGCCTGACAGCTTCTGACATGAGGATGCACACTAAGTGTTGGCTCGGTAATTTTGGAATTAAACAATCAAATAATAAGCATTCTCAGGCAGATGGCAGAGCCCTCCATGTTTTTCTTAATAATATTCTGAGGTTTTCATTTTACTTTAGAATCTTTTTGTTTTTCTTCATATTGCTCAAATGCTTCCTGTAAAGTCGCTATTTCGGAAATGAAGTTGCGGGGTTGACTGCAATTTTAGTAAAACAAACATGTAAAATGGGCTTATAGTGTGTTCTCAATCTATTTTTACGCTAAGCAAACTGATGTTTTATAGAAGCTGAACAAGCTGTGGTCTTTATTTCAAAATAAAGGCTTTCATAGCCACTTATTCTTGTTTCTTTTTTTAAAAAAAAATGTCATCTGAAACGTTCCTTTAGTGTAGCAGGGTAGGAAAGCAACACGGGAACAGAAGATATTCTCTGCCTCTCAAACCGCTTTGATACTGCTGAAGATAAAAGGCGTTATTTTTAACTTGTAATTGGACATTTGTGCATCTTTCAGTAGTTTCAAGAGTTCTGTACACTGTAAATAATTAGTTAATCATGTTCCAAATTCTTCAAAATTTACGAATGGAGTCCTGAGCAATGTATCTTTATAAGTTGACATGTATTGGATGAGAAATATTTGGAAATGGCTTTCTTTGTGTTGTATGTTCAAGTGGTTTAGAGTTGACCTTTTGTACTGAAACAGGCTTCACGAAGCCTCATTAAACAAAATACATGACTCATAACCCTGATCTTTCTGTAGTTGGATTCTTATGGGATGTAGTAGAAGGGGTATAGGTATGGATTCTGCAATCTGTAATGTTAAGTAGTTGGAGGAAGGTCAATTTTTTGAAAAAATTGGGGCTATTAGGAACTAATATAAGCAAGCAAGCAACCAAGTCTTTCATTGCTATTCAGTTGTAGATGTATAACCACAGTTGATGTCCTCCTTAGTTAATTGAGAAAAGTGCTAGTTTAGGATTGAGCAACCTGTGGCAAAGGCTTTTTGAGATACACACTATACTATGTAATGTACTGTCAGAAGGTATCAATCAGCTGATCTAAATTGAAATCTGAACTGTCCCTTTTCAACAGTTGTAGGAATTCTAATAAAATCATTACCACAGTACCAGTTTTCCCATGTAACAGGCATGCCTGAGGTCATTGCCAGGTATGCTGTTTATTTGAAATTATTCCTTAGGTTGGATTTTGAATCCCTTGTATTTGCCTTTCATTTTAGATAATCTATTTTCAGTGCAGGGTTATGGGGAAAGCAAGTTCAGGATAATCAGATTGGCCATTATCTCATCGGCAGAGCAGACTCCATGGGCTGAATGGTCTACTTCTGCTCCTTTTGTCATACGGTCTTATAGCTTAAGTTTGTAGTGCTAATTTTCATAATTTACTGTTTTTGCATAAAGTAATATTGAAGGGATGATTTTACATCTGTTTTGCCATACTGGTTTGAAAAGAATTACGTCTGGTGCTAGATATCAAACAGCTATCTGTTTCTGTTGAATTTAAATTTTTTAAAAAAAAAAGAAAAACCTTTCTTTCCGTGTTTCTCAAAAACTGGTAGTTTCATTGTGATTTTCTTGCATTGAGTAATTGATTACCAAATGGAAAATTTCCATTCCAAAGTTTGCTACTTTGTGGCTGAAGTGATAATATTAGTACCAGCAGCTGGATGATACGCAAAAGTTTTTTTTTTTTAAAAGAGTTCAGTTATCAGAAACATCAGGATAAAATTTATCAACATTTCATAAACTGTCTCTGTTGCTATAAAATTGGGCACAGCTAAATTAGGTGCAAATGTCTGTTCAGAAGGGTGTTCAAGTCCATTTAAAGATTTTTATAACGCTTCACAACTTCTAAGGATCTTTGCTAACATTTGGAAAGAAATGGCCATGGAGAACGAAGTGCTGTGCCTTCTTCAATGAAACCTGAGATGAAAACAGCACATGGCTAAGTGCAAATGTGGATATAGTCCTAGATTTGAGGTAACTCCTTTTACTCTCATAGGCAGTTTATGTTGACTGTTCATTCAAAACACACTCAAATAATGTGCTTGTGAAATTTCATTTATTGTATTGGGTTAGTTCTCTAGCAGAATCCAACTCTTAAAATTGAACTCCATGCCAAACCTTACTATAAAGCTTCATTCCTTGATCTTTTATTCATTCAGTTGCTTGCGGTATTCTGCTCCATTGATTTTTAACAGTGAGCACTCTAAAAATATTTTCCCTTGAAGAAAAGAAATTGGACCATATAACATTAGTGGCACAATTTGTTCCCTTAACTAGGATTTGCCTTGTGACTCTTTTCTGAAAATCGTTAAAAATTACATTAAATTCTTAAGCCTGAAAAGTTTCATTTTGTTGAGTTGCTGTAAATGACCAAACATAACTAATAGACACTCTTCATATTGCAGAATGAACCTGAGTGACGATTTCGTGAATAATGATGCTGATTGCCCTTTGACACTGAAGGCAGAGGAAAGCATTTGGGGTATGTTTGATTCACATATTCACTAAGCTTGTTGTGTATGTAATTGTATTTTGAGGGCTAGTTGATTAATGTAAATGTTTTGATTCCTAAATTGTCTGTCTACTATATTACTATTAAGGAAAAGCTTAATCTAGTCTGGTTGTCACTTAGTCAAATGAAGCACTTGTAGGTCTTATTGCTTTTACAGTAAAGAGTGAATTGTCTTGTCATATCAAGCCAAGTAAATAAAATTGATGATTTGGAAAGGAACACTTTTTGAAACTTACAATTGTTTGAGAGGCACACTTTAAATGCACTAGAAAGTGGTGTGTACTTTGTATGGTATTAAATATATTAGGGGGAGTAATCTATTCAATTTCATTAAGTAACTTGCTATAGAAATATGGTAATCTAACTGATATGCATAACCTAGCTATGTTCTGTAATATTGTCCATTGTGTTGAACTTGCAGTACATTGTGATCTTATTTGTAAAACATTGTAATTTCTAGTGTATTAAATGGCGTAATGCTGTTCCATTATGTTGACTTACTTTAAATGTGAAATGTCTATGGTTTAACGTTTTTCCCATCAATCCAATTTTCTTTGTTTTGTTAAAACTTTGTATCTCTTTTAGGTATAGTCTCACAGGTGACTGTCACTAATCGATGATTTATCCAATTCATCAATCAAGTTGAGTGAAAATGGTTGCAAATCTGTGAAATTCTCTGCCCCAGAAGGTTGTGGAGACAAAATCATTGAGTGTATTGAAGACCAAGATGGACTAATGTCAGAACTTAAGGAGACTCTAGGATTATGGGAAGCCAGCAGCAATGTGGAATTTGAGACCAAGATCGAATTAGTCATGATATTGTTAAATGGTGGTACATGCCTGAGAGGTTGACAACTTTTGGTGCTCCTGTTTCTTTTCCTGAATGGCAGCTAACTTTTTACAAGGGGATTATTGCTTACAGACATGTACTATCAGCATGCGGTGCTGGTCAGTAGTCAAAAGTGGAATCTTGGCTGGTCTGCATTAACCCAAGTGTGTTGAACCAGTAGTAGAAATCTGCACATCTTTGTTTTCTGACTTTTTTTTTCTTTAATTATTGTTTAATATCTTGTTTGCTCCAACTACCTGATAAAATATATATTTGATCGGGTTGGGGTGTTATGAAAGTTGGCGGTTGCTGGCAGAGGATGCTGTAAAAATACTAACTACTGCAAGACTGCTGGAGCCAGAGGAAATTGAAAATTTTGCAATTACAAAGCTATCATTCCTTTTACAATGTTCAATAAAGCAACATTTTATAATTTAAAATGTCTAAGACTTTGTATTTGCTTCCTAATAATTCTAGCCAACTTAGTATTGAAATTCAGGTCTGTGGTCTTTCCTTTAATTGACAGGTTGGACTGTAGAATAGATAGCATCTGATAAGCTAAGAAAACAGATTGATACTCTAAAGTGGTGCATTTTTAGATTTATTGCTTGCATAAATCAGATGCTTGCAAATTTATTGTGTTGTGAGAACACAAATAGTTGAGGTTAATTTTAGTTGGTTTAGGTTGTAGATTCCTTTGAGGCAGGTTGGCTAGTTAATTAATAGCTCTTGAGAATTCTGCCAGCATGCCAAACTTGTTTCTGATAGATGCCAGCCTCCAGTTTCTAAATGTGCCAGCTTGGAGCTAACTTGGGAAAAACACAAGTGGCAATTACAGTGGTTGTCGTGCAGAGATGTAACCATGAAATGACCATCTTTCAGTTTCTTGTACCCTGTAAAGGACTGCAAAGTTAAGTGTTAGCATATGTTACTGCCCCTCGGCATATTCAGTTATAGTTGTTTTGGAGAGTACAGCAAGGTGAGTTGGATGCTCGAGGTAGAAGAAGAATCACTTATCAATTGTCAGGTATGCTGTCTTATGAAATTGAGAAACCCGTGATGTTGCCCATATATAATTGTTTGTTGCTCTTAGATGGCAAATGATATGGAAGAGAAAATTACTTCCTCCTGAGAAAAATAGGTATTTTGGTTCCAACTGTGCTGGTAGATGAGATGATAAAACCATGGTCATTTGGTGGTTGGATAACATTTTGTTCTCAAAAGTGTATTTGTCTTTTTGTAAAGTTGATGGTATTACCTTGCCAAGAAGATTACTTTCACAGACTTACAAACTTTTAACACACAATCTGGAAGTGGGTATTTTCTGGGATTTTTTGTTTGTCATGAGAAGTTGCCTAATCGTGTCTACAGATAACTGAAGTTCTTTCGTGTTTGAAGAGTCCAGCAATTCAGCTAGGGATTCACCTTTTTTAAAGACAGGATTTGATTTGATTGGCCTCTATTACTACTACTTGTTGCTCGAAACAAAGATAATAATTAAGACCTTTTAATGAATTTTCTACACCCAAACAATTTGAAAGTAATTTATGTTCTCTTGGTGTATAATTCACAAAGATCATTAATATTGCCTTTCAACTATGTACATCTCACTTTTTTGACTAGCTTGCACATTCATTTACCTTCGGATGTTTGCAAATGGGAAAATATTTTGCTGAATGAAGTAATATTGGAAAAAGCTGGTAACTTTGACTTGTACAAACCAGATTAGAGACAGATGAATGTAGATAACTTTTTAATAAAACTATTGCATGATATTGTCAACCATATGTCATGGTATGATCTTCTGGTGGCATTTGAGTGTTATCAACTGCTGTTTTGAGTTGATAGGGATTTATCAAAAAATTCTGGGAGCAGGTAATAGTGATAACTCTTTTTCATTCAGATCTATATGAAAATCTTAGGATTTCATAGCATTACATTTCATTCAGGGTTAATGCAAATGTTTGCCTGATTGTAAAATATTAGGTATTGCAAATGTTAACTTTTGATTTAGGAGTGAATTAACAACACCAAGTTTTAGCATATCACTGGAGCTAATTTTTTACAACATTAATTTTAAAACATTGTAAAGAAGTGACCATCCCCTTGCGTGGCTTAGAAAACTACTGAAGCCGGTTAATATAATTACTGCCATCTCATTGCATCAGGAATTTTGCCAAACTAATAGCTACAAGATAACAGCTTCAATTGGTAACCGACCTGTTAAGTATTCCATCAAACTAATTTTTGTTGCTTTTTATTTAGAAAGTTGATTTCAAGTTAGCAATGTTGGTGACTTGATTAAATCATTGTTTCATTTAATAATGAGCAATTTCATGTATCCAATTTGCCATCATGGAGTGTGGTAACATTTCACTAATCCATCTATTTGTATAATTCAGTACCATACCCACAATCATTGCAATCATTATACACAGAATTATAGATGTCCAATTATCATTTGGCATAGTCCTGCATTTTTTCGAAGTCAGGAAACCTTGCTGAGGAATGACTGTCACCCCTATTATAGTGTCAGTATATGCAATTTTCATAAATGAGGAGCTGTGGCAAGCAGTTAAAAATTGATCTGTCAAGGAAAAAGACAGGTCATCTGAAAGCAGATTGGAAATCCAAGATATCAATTAGATTTCCACATGGAAGGGCAGTTGTTACTATTAGGTTGGTATGAAAGAAAATCACCAAAAGAATTGAAACCAGAGTATCAATATTGGTGCTCATTGATAGTCACATGGGATTGCAATGGGCTGCATGCCACACCAGAAAAATAACAAATGATAGACAATAAGTCCATGGAATGAGATTAAGTCACTAATTCTAAATGCAGTCCTGTCTGTAGTGTACTCCAAAGTGGGCTCGCAATTCACATTTCCCCTTGTATCTTCATTTTAGTTAACTTGTTTTATATGCATTAAAAAGACTTGTGCAAGTGTAATATTACAATGTTTGTTTAGTCCTTCTGTAGAATTTGTTTTGCTTAGTTGAATGTTTAGTTAGAGTATAATAATGGGAGGCATTTGGGAACAGAAGACGGATACAAATGAGAATAGCCAACCATCTCCCCTTTCGAGAAAAAAACCCTCAACTCCATTATGGCATCAAGGTTCTTGAATCTTAGCCTTTATGAAAGGCTAAGTCAGTTTGTTTACTGTTGATTCCCAGGTCCAAGATGGCGGCAAAGTAAGACGCTTCAGACTGAGCTTGTCCTTTCTGTTCATTTTCCTTTTCTCTCTCTCTCTTTGTATATATTTTCCTCTCCTGGCCTTGGACTCAGCACAGACCGAACTGGGCAGCCTTCGGGCCTGTTGGCGTGGTCTTTTGGAGTACGTGCTTTTGGTCCTGCGTGGACTAATGATGTTGAAATGATTCCTCGAAGTGTGGTCCAACATGTGGCTGAGCGCTTAAGAAAGACTAATGATTGAAGTTGCAGTTTTACGTAGGTAATAAAGAAAGCTAAGAAGGTGTCCCTACTATAATTACTGTGATTCTTTAACCTTGTTCTTAAGCTTCTGTACCTAGGTACTTGTACCTAAGGCCCCATTATACACTTCACTGTACTCCCGTACTTTCATACTTGAGTACACATGACAATAAAAATTAAACCCAATCCTAAATTTGTTTCAGTAGTTTGAGCCTTTGTCTTAATGCTCCTATTTTTAGATAATGTAATGTAAAACTGCATTATACATTTCCTCCTCATTCAACTAGGGCTTGTCATGTTTTCCTAACGACTGAGATTGCATGACTTCTAAAAGGATTTTAGTACTTGATTTAGAATTTAAGTTTAAATACTAGTCCTTCATACAGTACTTTACTCTCTCAATTTATTTGACAATGTGTGCCACATCATGATGCTTTTCATAGTCCAGTTTGAATGTTGTTAACCGTCAGGAGCTTGAGTCCAAGTGATTGCTATTGAATAGTTTATGTCCAGATAACTAAATTTATTCTTTGTTTACTCTTTTTTGATCGAAGACCAGAAATGAGAGACCACCACTGTGTGGCAGATATTCAACTTGCAGAGAACAGAATTTTTGTATTTTATTCTGTGCCATTTGTCTGGACCAGAGGAACTGTCACTGTGCTTCTCTTGGAATCTGCCACTAATATGTCTGTCTGTTTTTGTGAGAATGGGAGTGGGAGAGGCTATATCCCCAATATGTGTTCTCTAATCTCTCATCATTTAGAGTCCTAAGGTGCAGCAGGATCTAGGTACCCTAATGTATGAATCTTACAAGTCTATTGTGTGGCCAAGGCAAGTATTTAGGAAATGATTGCAATAAATTATTTCTAAGAGAATGGAATACAAAAATGGAGGGGTTATGCTTTGTTACACAGAGCACAGGTAAGACCACATCTAATACTGATTTAAGGGAGGATGTAAATGCATTGGAAGAAATTTCATGCAAGGTTTCAGTGTAATACCTGAAACGAGTGGAACAAAAACAAACTTGTGAAGGAAGAAAGTTAACATTTCAGGTCTGGTGACCTTCAGAAATAGGTGTTGTCTTTGGAGGAAAGGTTGGACCAGCTTTGCTTCTATCTACTAGAGTCTAAAAGAGTAAGCGGCCTCTTTATTGAACACAAAGGATGCTGAAGGGCTGTGGAGAGTTTCTTATGGGAGAACTAAGGATCAGCCTTTTTAAGGTGTTATCCATTTAAAACATGGGGTGAACTGTTTCCTCAGAGTCATGAGTATTCAGAGCTATCTTCTGAAAAGGTGGCAAAAGCAGAATCATGACAAATTCTCCTTTAATATTACTACATTCAGACAATGAAGGTCATCACTCTTTAGCTGGGACAAAGTAACCATAGTAGCCCAAGTCAAATATAGACAAGCACAAGAATTCCTGGAGGCATGGTTCTCCACCCAGAATCAAAATATTTTTGGGTGGAAGTAGATTGATGTTCAGCAAGAGGATGAAATGTTATCAGGATTGGCTGGGAAAGTGGATTTGAGAATCCAATCAGATCAGCCTTAAATGGTAGAGCAGAATCAAGGATAGAGCTAAGCAATCCCACTACCAACCAATCAGATCTAAGCTCTGCAGTCACGAAATGCTACTGGAATCTCCCAACTAATAGGAGATGGGGGTGGGGTTGGGGAGATCCTTAAATATCACCCTCATTAATGGCAGAAGATCACAGCATATAATGTCAAGTGAATGATCCAGTGGAGTCATGAGTGCTGTCAAATTTGCAAGAGAATAAACTGCTCACTAATGGTTTTATGATTGAATTATTTATTGTCACATATCTCTAGAGAGTGAAGTGTGTTTCGTTGCCACAACTTGGCTCCATTTTGAGTTTTAAAAAAAAATTACATAAGTAGAGTTGATATTCTGTATAAGGGGTCATCACACAGCTCCAGGGCTCTGCAAGGTATCCTGGGCCTCAAGGAGTCCCTAGTGCCAGTACAACA